TTATCTCCACGCTGTTGGACACTTACAGTCCTTTGTAATTTGTGAAAGAACTGGTGTATTTTTAGATCGCAGCTCAGATCCAATTAATTGAACCCCTTAAATCATCTGAACTCTACATGCGCGTGGCTGCAGAGACCTCCCAGCATGCAAAGCTCTCCATTCTAGCCGGTTTTGTCCTCAATTCCCTGTTGAGCACGCTGATACACTCACACACACACACACACACACACACACAGGGACGTCCTCACGCTGTACATGGGGACTGCACAGATCGCGGACAGTGATCACACTCCTCAGCCAAAAGGAAAGTGACACAATAGGGACACAAAGGCATTTCATCTTCATCCGAGGCGAGCCGCTTGTTTATCGGTTGAGGTTGACGCTCAACACTTGTTCCTCCTCTGGGGAAATGTGTGTCGCTTTTCTCACAAGTGGACCAGTTCCCCACTTTATATGAAAATTAGACTCACTGCTGATGCGACAAGACGAGTGGAGGAGACAGGGGGGAAAAAAGGAAAAAGGAACTTTTGTGGATTAGAAAAATAATTCTGAACAAGCTTTTTTTTGATGAGCACAATTATAGAAAATTTGGTCACTAATCAGAGGATGGTTGCTAGATGACAAGGATAGCATGTGCAGATGTGCCGTCAAAAAATAATCGGACAAACACTGTTCTAAAAATGTTACAGAATGTCGTTAAAAAATCGTCTGTTTGGAGGTATTAGCAGCTTAGATTGGAGGTATAATGGGGGCTCTGAATCTGGTTTGTGTCCTCTTCAATATCAGTCTCTGAGACCAAAATAATGTCACTGTCAGCGCACCGCCCACCCCTCCCTCAGAGTGCGACTGAGTGCAGCCATTTGTAGGACTTATCTCCATCCTGGTATGCAACCCCGGGGTTCATTCTGTTCTTAAATCTTTGAATCATTTCAGACCAAACAAAGTTTTTTTTTTTTTTTTTACAGTTTGCAAAGTCTGATGGTTCAAAACCCCTGGTCTCCAACTGGTTTACAGCCGCCCCCCTTTGTAGGTGTAGGTGTGTGTGTTAAGAGACTGACTTTGATTTTTTTTGTCAAACTCCTCGGTGTATGTTATGAAAGAGCCACACTGCGCCGACTTCAATCACCGGCTGCCCATGTGAGTCGTCTTATTTTTTATGTGAGTGTGTGTGTGCGAAACGATGAGCTGATTTTACAACGACTTAAATGTCCCAGATCTGTCTTTGACTCAGCGTCATCCTCTTGGATGTGTTCATCTGTGTGTGTGTGTGTGTGTGTGTGTGTGTGTGTGTGTGTGTTTGGCTACCTCTCCTAACCTGCAGACATTAACATTTCATGGACGATGCCGAGGTTTGTCGGCGAAATCAAATCAAACTTTCATCCTTAATTGTGTAAGCGGGGCTGGAGGGAGTTTCCACATCAGCGAGGTGAACCAACTCGAGCTAGGCACTAGTCGGGGTAAAAAAAACAGACAAACATTTTATTCCCATGACTGTGCTATTGGCTGTCACCTTATTGGTCATTTCAGATCTCTAGCGAAACATTCTTTGAACTCTCTACTTCCATCGATGGATCCAGTAGATGTCGCCCTCGAGCACCAGCATAAACCAAAACAAACTTTGGCGTTTTGACACCTCCGCTCTCCTCCAGCCAAACTCCTCCAACCCCACTTCCCCTCCAATTTCGACTAAGGAATTACAAAATGGAATGCACCATAATTAAGCAGCATTAAGCGCCAAATGGCCGACATAACAGGCTCAAGGCGCAAATGCCTGTGGCCTGCATTGTTGTGTTCGCAGGCTAATGTTAGCGCTCTGTAGTTAGCTCGTAGCTTCACAGAATGGCTGTGATCTGAAACGCTTGCAAAAAGGATCCGGCCGTACCATCCTACTTTTTTTTTTTGGCTACCCTTCTGTTGGGGTGCTGAGCGTACCAATCGGACCCTGAATCATGAACCATGAGTCATCTATTCCGTTCTTACAGCGGTAATGAAGGACTAAACACAAAACCTGCCATTTTTTAAATATCCTGTGGATTTCCAAAGAGCCATTCAGGCGTTTTTTTTTTTGTGTTTTTTTCCACTAATATCGTAGCACTGCCCAATGGATGACCTCGTCGGAGGTGTAGAACTCAGTTGCCCTTTGTTTACTGAGTCGCATTCTTTTCTTCATTGAATTTATTAGCAGGCTACACTGTGTTGAGCTTGTATGATGTCACGCTTTAGACATAGCTGACGCAGTTATTGCTATCTGGCTCACACTCTGCTTACAGAATAAGGGTACGGCTGGCTGTGGAAACTGAAGCAAGATCAGGGTTGACCGTACCAAAGCGTACCAAACTAACCTGAAACCTGACAAGGCAAAAAGGACCAATCAGCATTAAGCAGCCCATTCATGTGATGCTCTGTATGCATTTGGGAGCAATCTGGATGTTCAGTGTTTTGTGCAGGGACTCTAAGGTCAAGATACTGAGGGGGCGGAGCTGGGATTGATCCTCCAACCTTGTGATTGAGAAACTACAGACTCTCCCAAATATTCTGTATCTTCCAAAGTTTGGGGAAGAAAGACTGCTGCAGGCTCATTTTTTCAGATATAACTTCGTAGCCTTTTTTTTTGTGCTCACAATGAATAGATGAACATGAACCCCAGCATGGGGGGAGAGGGGGCGACATGTGACAGTACACTGCCAGAAACAAGACAGCAGGCAATCAAAACAACTGAAAAATTAATCGTCACACATGCTTTTATTCAAAATGTGGAGTAGAGCAATTCCCCAATGATTCCCACATAAAAGGTCGACTAGTCGTCTGATTGTGCGTCATGGCATGTTACCGATTGTAAACACTGCATCTCAGTCAGGGCAGCGTCGGGCTGATTTGATGCTTTCTGTCAGACAAAGAGGCGTACAGCATCGTAAAGAATCCCACTGACTCTCGCTCCCCGAGTCCAACAACCTTCCATGTTTATCACACTGCTTTAATTCTCTTTAAAAGCAGTGATAATAAAATGAACTTTTGCTAATGAGTACCACTGAGAACCTTTTTCCAATCATTCATTGGCTCAAGCTAGTTACCATTTGAATAGCTGCCAGCCTTCCTGCCTCTCTGAAGAGTACTCCTTGTCTCTGCAATCAAGGCTGGAGTTCTATTGTGTTGCAGAAATGATGGCGGTTGCAAATCAAAAAAAAAGATTTTTTTAATCAAGACGAGGTCAAATCAACATGTTCTGAATGGACTTACTGAGATGTGAGAAGTGAATATGAACCAATTTTCTAGAGTGTTGCAGTAGATTAAAAAAAAAAACCACAAAGCCAGGTCCATGCACCAACTTTTAGATATTCTGGTACCACTTTTTGGTTTCCCTCCCCAACTTTAACTCTCTCTTTCTACAGCCTATTGGTCTCATTATGTCTGAATTCTTCCCTTTTTGGCCATCAAACATCTACAGGAAGTCCCCTGCCGCACAATTACCAATAAAGACTGGAAGGTGTTTTTTTCTTTTAGAATACCAGATAAAAGCTTGTTTCGCACATTAGGTGCACTACACATTTGGCTTAAATGGAAACCATGAGCGCATATGTATCCAGATATTTTAATGTTCCAGTGAAGAAAAAATAAATTCTGGTTGTTTTCTCCAGATCAACTTATTTTTCTTGTTATTCTCTGGAAAACAAAACTGTTTTTTTTTTATTTTACATCATTACAACATATTAGTTTACTTCCATGTCTTGATAATGGGATAACTTTCTGGCAATCTAATAGGCTGCTCAAGGGGACATGCTATGCTGCCATTGTCGACACTAAGCTAACTTAAAGACTCGTCCAATCAGGAGAGACTTGTGAGTACAGGAAATGATTTATCACAATGGATAACGTGGGAATGTGACTTGACAGAAAGACTTAAGGCGCTTGGACTCTGGGGGGGGGGGGGGGGTTGGTCGATGTGTTTTGGAGGTGACAATTTTGAGTGTCAATAGAATCATTCAGTTGTCAATTCATTGGAAACATGAAGAAAACATGACAAAATTCGCCATGAAATCATGAAAACGAGAGTTACATCTGTAACTACGGTTCTATGAATTCTGGATGACCGCCAGAGGCAGTTCGATCCGAGACATAATTGACTTGTATGCTACAATTTGGCCCCCTGGCCGTGATAATTAATGGAATGCGGCCCTTGCTGTGACCAAAGTTGCCCATCGCTGACCTAGAGGGATAGCTTTTATCACATTTGTGCCAAAAGTAATGAGTAGTCCGTGTTCAGACTTGTAAAGTTGACCATGTTTTCACTGCTCGGCATTCACCCCTTTCCCATTTTCTAACTTGCTAAGTTGTTATCAAGGTCGACCAGAGGAAGGTCCAATAGTAACGAACTGTGATTGGTTCCTTTCTGATCTTAACTTGTTACTTTAATGTTAAATTTACTCATTCATTGACCTCAGAAGTAAAGCCGCTGTTGGTAACTGCTGTGTTCAGGCTTTGACCATCAGATGCTATGCCTTATGCAAAACGGGAGGGTCTGACCTCCGGGAATATAGTTCTTGACTTCTAAACTTGATTTTTATTTAATTTTTGGCATATTGCCACCTACCATACCATAATGGAGTCGGTCAATAAATCAGTTCCCCATCGGAGGACAGTATTCCAATTAAATGCCTGGTTGAGCTCTAACTGTAGCTACTAGCAAGTGATTTGAGAAAGGCTGAATTTAGGGAATGTCCATAAAAAGATAGAATCTTGGTTTGAAATCAAATGCAACATTTGTGCCAAAAAAATGGGAACTAAAACAAGCAAATAAATGATTTACTCTACGAGCTACCTCTGGAGAAACATCCCATATCCAGTGATGCAGCGTCGCCAGTTTCAGCACCATGGACAGCTCCGCGCCCAGCCAATCAGAACCACGGACAGCGCCAGTGACACCAACTCCACTGCCAAAGTTTCAACGCCATTTACAGCACACAATCTTTACACTCAATCTCATTTTTAAAATGTCATCTTACCCCCTATATCCGGTCGTAGGTTCTTGTCGTACTCCTTGAGTAAGTTGTTCAGGATGAGCGTGGCGTCCTCCTGGTGCGACCTGGGGACCAGCATTTGATTGACAGTGGCATGGTGGTGATCTTCATCGTCGGCGCCATATTCCAGTAGATCACAACTGAAAGGTGTAATAAAAGAGGGGGGGGGGGGGGTTGGGTTGTTTACCCTGAAATGACACCCTGGATCACCCTAAAAAAACAACTGTGTGATGGTAACTTTTGCCGCACTGCAAAGCATTAGACGTAAACTCTCTTTTGAGGTATATCCATCTTGTAAATGATAATCAGTCTGTATTCAGTCATAGCAGTAAATGGTTGCTCTTATTTTTTTCTGTGTGCTCCTGTGAGCGCGTGTGTTTTTGTGCGTGCCTGTGTGTGTGTGTGTGTACGCGCGCGCCCGGGGAAAGCCCCTTTCGGAAAAATAAATAAATAAATAATAAAAAAAAAAGCACCATGCATTATCAGCCGGACTCATTCACAGAAAATGATGCGCAGTTGTCCTTAAAATCATCCATCAGTCACCTGTGAACTTTTAAAACACCTCTCATGGTCACGAGCATGCAAAATAAGAAGGTGCACGTTAGACTCACCTTGCACCTTGATCAAGAAGAAGTATGAAGAAGATGATCGCAAACTTGATTGTCATTTTCCCATCCATGAATCACCCCCCCCACCGATCACTAAAAATTGATGGCTGGAGATCCAGGAGTTTTTCTTTTTCCCTGCTGCGTTAAGTGGCAGTACAGTAGGTGTGCGACCATCAATGCGTTCGCCGAACTTCCCTCATCCGCCCACACACTTACTTCTTGCGTGTCATCTGCGACCACACACACACACACACACACGCACACGCACACGCACACACACACAAACAGTGGTCTTTTCCCACACCCCGGCCCCCACCGGTCCACTGAGCTCGTCGAAGGGGGGGGATCCTCCGGGACGCACCCCGACGATCAATCAAGTCTGATCAGTCCAAGCGGCGCGGGAGTCGAAGCGACTTGATTCAGTGGCACCCTCCTCTCTCTCTCTCTCTCTCTCTCTCTCTCTCTCTCTCTCTCTCTCTCTCTCTCTCTCTCAAACGTCTTGTGTGGGCACCACAGTGGTGGGGTGACGCGGTCTGTGCTGCTGCTGAACCTTTTAGAAGATGAACATCTTTCATGACTCATACACCGTGTACGCGCTACATCGATACCTGGATCACAACTGCATGAGTGGAAAACAAAAATGCATCTTTACTAGTAGACGCAGGCTACGTCATTTTTTTTCTTCTCTTTATCCTCTTCTGCTCTTTAGAACCTCCGTTTTCATGTTTTTTTTGGTGCCGTCTCAATAATTCAGGCAAATGAACTATGATGAAACAGATCTTGAAATATGAAGGAACCAAGACTTCACTAAACTCCAGAATTCCCATTTCCCCTGATAGTTACACGTTCCCCAAATATTCTATTACCACGCAGCTTATTAGACCGCATGAAGTCATCATACATGCACAACAGTTTCAGTGAGGTGTACTTGAATTTCATTGTGATGTTTGCCCCACTCGAAGTCACATCAAGGCTTCTTGTCCACAACATCACAGCGAACTCTCCCTCTGAACTTAAAAAAAAAGAAGTCTAGGCTCGTTCAGCTTTCAACTCGTGAGGCATCAGAGGCGTCACCGCCCCCTGGTGGCTGAACACGCCGAAATGCTGCAACCACTGCAACTGATGAACAACCGTCTTCAGCTTGCATTTGCTGATTATTAATTTTAAAAAAAATCCTCCAATGAGACGTTCATGACTCCTTTTGCTTAAATATAACCCTACTTTAGAGGTCAGTCCCATCAATACAATTGAGGGTTGTAAGATGGTTGTGATTCACTGACAAAGGTTTTCAGATGCAAACATTTTGGGACAGCCTTTTCTTAGGTTATCTGTCCCCAAAACAATAATGTATTTTCGGACATGATCTAATGTGTTCCAAAGGGTTTAAATTGAACCTTAAAGTTACAGAAGTCACTCTGATAAGTGTAAACTTCTAAATTGTGGGCTGAGAAATACGGAATACAAAAGGAAATAACAAGAAATGTAGATTCCCCTCTTGCACTTGCTAATTATTTCTGTACGGGGATTTTTCTTTTTAAAGATTTATTTATGGGCATTTATGCGTCTATTTATAGACAGGAAGTGGACCACAGCCTCCATACATGTTGGTTGGCAGTGGCGATTCTAGAGGCTGTTGGGGTCCTAGGCAAATGTCAATTAATGGGGCCCCTCTCAGTGTTTAGCAGTGCAGTCAGAGTGAATGCTGTTAGATGGGGTTCCCTTTAGGGGATGTTTTACTGTCATTGTGAAATTTGCACATTTTGGGTCGCTGCTTTGGTTCAAAGTTTGTCAGCCCTCTTGGGCCCCCCTATTGGTCTTGGATAGATATGGATCGATAGATTGTGTGTTCTAGATAGACAGGAGGATGCTAATCAGGTTAGCATCATCACTACCATGGCTCATCGTGTTAGCATTCACTTTCAAGCACTAAATGAGGACATAAAAAGGCTAAAGGCAGTCAAATAAAAAAGGGTTTAGCTCGGCCTGTAATGAAAGTTGTGAGGGGAAAAAAACAAACACATTTTTAAAACGATGAAGGCGCCAGAGGCAAAGTCAGGACACTGATTAAAATTCATCCAGAAGAAAAGCGTTGATGTGTTTGAAACTAATTTAATCAACAATGTTAGACGGACTGCCATACAGAAAAAAAAAAAAAAAAAGGGAGGTCAAATACACTCACATGATCAGAGACGAGATGCTTTCAGTTTAATTTCCCTTGAAAACACAACTCAGGGTAAAGCTTCGACGAATAATTGGCACAACTAAAGCAGCAGTACAGTTCTTATGGGGAGGGGGGGAGTCACATTTGTTTCTTGGTAAAAATGTACAAGCAGCAGATTCAGAAACAAACGAGGACAGAAGGGAACATATACAGAGGTTGGATGTCGTTACCAGGGGACAAAGGGGTGTCTGGTCCGTCCATCTGGACTTGCTGCCATGGAAACCACGGCAACCAGATGTATAGAGTGCCTTTCAAATGCATTTCATCGAACCTCTTTTTTTCCTTGTCGTTTTTTTCTTCTTAAAAAGCACGGGAACATAGTCTTAGCTTCACCCAAAGAGCAGTTTGACAAAGAGCAACATTTTTTGAATACAGTAAATGCAGATTCAATATCACCGGGAGCCAGCACAAAACACTTGAGAGTATCATGGCACAAACACAGAAAAGGCTTGAAACTATAATACTTACTGTAGGTCCTGATTTCACAAAGCAAAGCGGGTACACCATCATCCATTAAGCATCAAAAAGTCATCAAGGACAACGCTTACAGCAGCAGGTGACAGGTTCAAACCACACTGTTTCTAATGCATGATATTGAAGAAACAGTGATTCTCTTCTGCTGCAAAGCACGCGTCCTTTTTTGGTACCTGAGTATGTCTCACCATAGTCCCAACAAAGTCACATTATGCTGTGCTCTGAGGGGCTAACGCCATAAAATGCCATAATGTGTGCTCATTGCTTCCGATGAAGTCAATTTAGAAAAAAGTGAAATACAAATTCAAAGATCAAGAGATTGATCACAAGCACGTCAAAAAGCATCAAGAAGAGAAAGTTATGAGACGAGTTGACCCATTGAACTTTGACACCAGATGCTCTTGAAATGCAATTTCATCTTGACTTTAACTGTGAAACCAAATGCCACCTGATGAGCTAACGGCACTTTGTAGGAAAACAAAAAACACAAAGCTTAGAATGTCACTATTGGCTCTCTAACTACAGTAGGTCATCAACTCTTCCTGTTAGTATTTAACACAGAGAAAAAATGACATTGTTACGGAAGAGGATTAGGGCCACTGGGGGAAAAAGAATTGTTTCTGATTTTTTTTATTTTATTCTGACTTTAATCTCAGAATTCCGGCTCTGAAAAAAAAGTCAAAATTCTGAGAAAAAAGTCCGAATTATGAGATTAATTCTGATTTCTGAGATTCTCAGATTAATTAATTAATTTCTGAGATTAATTCAGAATTCTGACTTTTTTCTCAGAATTTTGACTTTTTTTTCGGAGCCAGAATTCTGAGATTAAAATCAGAATACTAAAGAAAATAAGAACAAAAAAATGATTTTTTTCAGTGGCCCTAATCCTCGTCCCTACATTATGAGTGTTTTTGTTGTTTTATTAATTTTTTTCACAGATAGTTTGGCCATGGGTTAGAATTCGCTGATGGGAGTCCAGTTGCCGGGACAACCACAAAGTACATTGTCAGGGAGTAGATTGTAGTCCTCGGTAGATGAACCACTCTAAAGATCGTCGAGTACAGTACTTATATGAATGGAAACGCCCCTTAAAGTACCCAAAATTCACAAGGAATCAGCTTGTTGAAACCTCTTCTTATTGTTAGTTTGAATGGGGGTCAAAGTAGCTGTGTTAGCTACACTTTAGGTCCCCAGCTCCTGCATTTCACCCGGTCTCTCAGCTGTTTATATTATTAGCTAAGTGGCTCCGGCTCCAAAATTCAGTTCGAGCATAGGATATTGCATCCTGAATTTGAAATTCTTGCCAAAGAGCTACAGTAGCTGTCCTGTGCATGTGGGCTGAAGACGTTTTCCCAACGTTCTCACTGACGAGCTGCCTCGACGACTACTTGATGACTTTTTTTTTTTTCTATATAAGTAATGAGGCATCGCTTCATTAAAACGTCCCGGATGCCTGAAATGATTATTTTCAATACATATATATTAAACCTTCTGGTTGCGTCGATGCTTTTGACTGCCAAAGAGATTTTGGGGAAATCAAGCCTGAAGCAGAAGGCTTTGAATCTCCACCAAGAGACCGATAGCACCCTCTGCAGAAGAACTTGCAAAGGCTTAAAGAGAGAAATACAACCAAATTGTAGCACCAATATTCAAAGTGTGGAATCCCGTGCAATTTCTCTCTTTAAGTAAATGCATGCCTTATTGCACTTCAGTGTTACAATCTCATAAGCTCATTGCATTTCAAGCGTCCATGAAAGGGAAATTAAGCATTTTTTAATGAAGGGGGAAATCGCTCAAAATGCCTCCATTGTTTGAATTTTTAATGTAAAACCCTCCCCAAAGTGGTAAGAATGGAGTGTTCTCACATACATGAAGCAGTGATTGGAATAAATATTGTCAATATTCCAGACAAAGAGGAGTCTACTGTCTCCATTTAAGGAGAGCATCATGCAAAACTGCAGCAGGGGAGGTGAGAAAGAAACAAAGCACTCACTCTCTTGTTGACAAAGAAAGTCTTGGTTTGTTTTTAGGGCAATGAAAATCAGGAAATGGATATAGTTGCAAACTTGCATTTAAAGCGCTTGAATTCGCTAGCTGGGTATAGTTTTGTTTCTCTTCCTCAAGCGCAGTTTGTTAATGCAGAAACAGACACACAAAATTATGTAGAGGTGACCACTCCCTTCACCACCACCGATTCTCTGTTTAGGTACGTGGCCCAGTAGACGAGGTTGAAGGTTCCAAAGAGGACAGGGAACACTATCCGCGACATCTTGTCTATCTTGCTGACGCTGTTGTAGGTCTTCTTGGCGTCTGGCACCTTGGTCTCGGCGGCGGCACGGAGTTGGACCGACGCCGTGTTGGAGATGGTGGAGACGGACACGTCCTTGGTGAGGTTGGGGGTGTAGTTGACGCCGGCCGAGCAGACGTTGTTGGGCTTCTTGGACAGCACCAAGGGGTCTCGTTTCTACAGTTGGGTAGATGACAATGAGCATTGAAATAGTTAGCAACTTCCTATAGCCTACTTATACGAGTGCTTTGTCTTATAACATGGATTAAGTGGTTTTCTTTAAGAACCAGTGTGACCAATTTAGTGTCAACAAGTGGTGTGATTGAAGATTGCAGCCAACTGACAACCACTCAACTTCAAAAATACCTTTATTCAACACAAAATGAGTACAGTTTTTTTTAACATCATTTACAAACATGTTAGCTTAGCGGCAGTTTGCTTATTAGACCATGAAGATAGGAACCAGGAAAAAAGCTAGCTCGGTCGATCCAGTGGTTACACAACCTGCTACACACATTTAATAATAATTTATACTCTATTTATTCTGTGACGGGACGTGGACTAGCTACCAAGCCAATTTCCAGACTTGGTTGTGCTGGGACTTGAGCCGGCAACCCTCCGATTCCCAACCCAGGTGCCTACAGACTGAGCTACTGCTGCCCCAGCAATAAGCAAGTCAGTACACTATTGTACTGTCAACAACTAATGAACTGAATTCTGACGTCTCTGCGAGCTGATGTCATTATGGCGTAGAAAAAATGCCTCTTTCACGTCAAACCCGTCTGAAAGGTAAAGTCAACAGTGATGCCAACTTTGTGCTTTCTAGTTGATGACGTGTAATCAGTGCTTTAAAAGAAAACTTAGCACTGCATCGACATGTATTTTGGAGTTTACATTCTAGAGCCTGACTGATTTATTGGCCAGCCGATAATATCGGCCGATAGTAGCATATCAAGTGACTATCGGTATCGGCCATTTTATTGCAGATATGCGCCAATATTACTAGATTTATTCACCAGTCGAATTGCATTTAATTTGAGATTCATTGTATTACACTGGCAGTTCTCTTTCACCAGCAGAGGGTGCTATATTATTTCTTCATTATACTTTTTATCTCTGGATTTGAAGGATCGACACAATAAATCTATCTATCTATCTCTACAGATCGAACATAGACCTAAGAAAGATATCGGCCGATATATCAGTACCAGTTTTTTTCCCTCCATAATATCGATATCAGTATCAGACCTCAAAATTCCATATCGGTCGGACCCTTGTTTATTCCTACGCATGTAGATAAGTGCCAACAAACTGTACCTTTGGGTGCTGCGCTTCCATAGCCTTCTTGCCGTCCCAGGCCCAGCTCCTTTTGGTGAAGTAGTTCACTGTTGCGAACTCAATGAGGGCGGAAAAGACGAATGCATAACAGACGGCAATGAACCAATCCATGGCTGTGGCGTAGGCCACTTTGGGGAGCGAGTTCCTGGCGCTGATGCTGAGAGTGGTCATGGTCAGTACGGTGGTCACCCCTAAGAGCAAACAAAAGGTTGTGACAAATTACAGGACATTAGAGCCCTGTTTCAACCAAGCGGTCCGGTTTGGTTCAGTTCGGTTTGGTTCAGTACAGTTTGACTCAGTACAGTTTGACTCAGTACAGTTTGGCTCAGTCCGGTTTGGTTCTGTCCGGTTTGGTTCAGTCCGGTTTGGTTCAGTACAGTTTGGTTCATTACAGTTTGATTCAGTCCGGTTTGGTTCAGTACGGTTTGGCTCAGTACGGTTTGGTTCAGTCCGGTTTGGTTCAGTACAGTTTGGTTCAGTACAGTTTGGTTCAGTCCGGTTTGGTTCAGTACAGTTTGGTTCAGTCCGGTTTGGTTCAATACAGTTTGGTTCAGTCCGGTTTGGTTCAGTACAGTTTGGTTCAGTCCGGTTTGGTTCAATACAGTTTGGTTCAGTCCGGTTTGGTTCAGTACAGTTTGGTTCAGTCCGGTTTGGTTCAGTACAGTTTAGTTCAGTACAGTTTGGTTCAGTCCGGTTTGGTTCAATACAGTTTGGTTCAATACGGTTTGGTTCAGTCCGGTTTGGTTCAGTACGGTTTGGTTCAGTACAGTTTGGTTCAGTACGGTTTGGTTCAGTACAGTTTGGTTCAATACAGTTTGGTTCAATACGGTTTGGTTCAGTCCGGTTTGGTTCAGTACGGTTTGGTTCAGTACAGTTTGGTTCAGTACGGTTTGGTTCAGTACAGTTTGGTTCAGTTCGGTTTGGTTCAGTACAGTTTGGTTCAGTACAGTTTGGTTCAATACGGTTTGGTTCAGTTCGGTTTGGTTCAGTACAGTTTGGTTCAGTACAGTTTGGTTCAGTTCGGTTTGGTTCAGTACAGTTTGGTTCAGTACAGTTTGGTTCAGTTCGGTTTGGTTCAGTACAGTTTGGTTCAGTACAGTTTGGTTCAATACGGTTTGGTTCAGTTCGGTTTGGTTCAGTACAGTTTGGTTCAGTACAGTTTGGTTCAGTTCGGTTTGGTTCAGTACAGTTTGGTTCAGTACAGTTTGGTTCAGTTCGGTTTGGTTCAGTACAGTTTGGTTCAGTACATTTTGGTTCAATGCAGTTTGGTTCAGTCCGGTTTGGTTCAATGCAGTTTGGTTCAGTACAGTTTGGTTCAGTTCGGTTTGGTACAGTACAGTTTGGTTCAGTCCGGTTCGGTTCAGTACAGTTTGGTTCAGTCCGGTTTGGTTCAATACAGTTTGGTTCAGTCCGGTTTGGTACAGTACAGTTTGGTTCAGTACGGTTTGGTCAGTCCGGTTTGGTTCAGTACAGTTTAGTTCAGTACAGTTTGGTTCAATGCAGTTTGGTTCAGTCCGGTTTGGTTCAATGCAGTTTGGTTCAGTACAGTTTGGTTCAGTTCGGTTTGGTTCAGTACAGTTTGGTTCAGTTCGGTTTGGTTCAATACAGTTTGGTTCAGTCCGGTTCGGTTCAGTACAGTTTGGTTCAGTCCGGTTTGGTTCAATACAGTTTGGTTCAGTCCGGTTTGGTTCAGTACAGTTTGGTTCAGTCCGGTTTGGTTCAGTACAGTTTAGTTCAGTACAGTTTGGTTCAGTCCGGTTTGGTTCAATACAGTTTGGTTCAATACGGTTTGGTTCAGTCGGTTTGGTTCAGTACGGTTTGGTTCAGTACAGTTTGGTTCAGTACGGTTTGGTTCAGTACAGTTTGGTTCAGTTCGGTTTGGTTCAGTACAGTTTGGTTCAGTACAGTTTGGTTCAATACGGTTTGGTTCAGTTCGGTTTGGTTCAGTACAGTTTGGTTCAGTACAGTTTGGTTCAGTTCGGTTTGGTTCAGTACAGTTTGGTTCAGTACAGTTTGGTTCAGTTCGGTTTGGTTCAGTACAGTTTGGTTCAGTACAGTTTGGTTCAATACGGTTTGGTTCAGTTCGGTTTGGTTCAGTACAGTTTGGTTCAGTACAGTTTGGTTCAGTTCGGTTTGGTTCAGTACAGTTTGGTTCAGTACAGTTTGGTTCAGTTCGGTTTGGTTCAGTACAGTTTGGTTCAGTACATTTTGGTTCAATGCAGTTTGGTTCAGTCCGGTTTGGTTCAATGCAGTTTGGTTCAGTACAGTTTGGTTCAGTTCGGTTTGGTTCAGTACAGTTTGGTTCAGTACAGTTTGGTTCAGTACAGTTTGGTTCAGTACAGTTTGGTACAGCCAACCATGCCCTTATTTGGTAAGCGGAGTGTTAGCCAGACGGAGATAGCCGCGTTAGCTATGTAATGGTGTGACATCATGACAGCCCAACACAGTGTAGCCCGCTATTAATTAAGAATAACGGAAAACAGTAGACAAGGTGAATCTTTAGGATCAGATCGGTAACCCTAGCAACCCAACAGAAGGGTACCAAAAAAGTAGGACGTATGGCTCTCTTATTTTAGTACCATTCCCAACTTTTGAAGTTGGAAATGCCAATAAATGGGTACCATACTGAACTGAACTGAACCGGTCCGCTTGGTGGAAACAGGGCTTATAGAAATGAGAACCGGGCTCCTGTCACTCAACAAAGGTGGGGACTTTTCTATCTTTAAATACCAGGCGGTGCTCAACGGCCAACTGTTATCATTCTCCATTTGCGGGACTGGTATGACAGGGTTTATCACCGAGATACAAAGAAATGATGAAATGAGTAAATAAGCTTCTCTCACCAAAGACGGTCCGAGCAGGAACAGATTCTCTGTTTAGCCAGAATGACACCTGGGACAGGATTACAGTCATGAAACAGGGCATGTACGTCTGGATGACAAAATATCCAATCTTCCTCTTCAGGTAGAAGTGGGCCATCATCACTGTGTACTGTCCTGAGGGGACAGAAAGGAACAAAAAAGAGGACATAAAGTTAGATAGGAACAATAAACAAGGCTTGGCTAATGACGGAGATATCGGCTTTAGGCTAAGCGACGCTTGGTTAAATCTTGTTACCACCTAGTTGAATTATAAATGTGTGATTTGACCTCCTTAAGGCGCGCAAGGTGCTGGATTACCTTGTTAGACGACATAATCATAATCGGCTGCATCACTTTTTTTCCCAATAAAAACTTGACAGTTTCAATTGTCTTGAAGATGAATGAAGGTGGTCCCCCTCCCCCCTAGAAAGGTTTATCTCCTCTTCTTATAGTATCATTATCATAATAAATGTTGGAAACTGGAGGATGGAAAGCAGCAGAGGTGGGATAAAAAGACAAAAAAATGAAGGCAAGCCGTTTTAAGTTATCTCAAGTACATGACAATAGATTATGCTGTTAATGTCGCATTGATGGTGTCAGGTAAATTTAGAGGCAGTTTGTGTAGAGAGGGAGAAAGAAATGGGGGGTGGGGTGGGGGCAGGATTCAGTTAAACAACAGAAGATTGCATTTGAGGCTTTAAAAAAATCCTCTTGACAACAGCAGTTAGTGACTGCAGGAGCTGGTAAACTATGAAAAATCCAATGACTATATTGCACACTCTCTCCCTCCCTCCCCGAACTAAAACACATGCACACACACACACACACACACACACACACACACACACACACACACACACACACACACACACACACACACACACACACACACACACACTCAGAGAGTAATACACGAGGCTTTCTCTGGGCAAAATCGGATTTTTGAACCTCCTAATCCCCGGTTACAATCTGCATCCTGCCATCAGTGAGAGAAAGAGAGGGAGTGGATGTGTGTGTGTTGGAGGAGGGAGGGGGGGGGGGTTAAGGCTTCCTGTCCTGGGATCATCACAGAGTTCTAAGCCACGCCCACTCCAGCCTGCCAATCCCGGCAGCAGCGACACACACACACACACACACACACATACACAGTCGGAACACACATGAAGCATGATTTCTAACTGCTGACAAGAGCCACCGCACACGCACAGAAAACACACTCGAGGCAACGGATAGGAACCTGCGTCTAATCACCGGTGGGGATGGAGGGGGGCTAACCGTGTGGACATTCATTATCTTTTGTCTGCTTTTTTTTTTTTTTTTTTTTTGGGATTTGACAGCTCTTTGTGGAATAATGATCAAAACCTCCTTGATCGGACGAGTTGGCATGTGAAAGAAGAAGCGAGTCTCAAAAAAAACTCACAATGAGGAAACAGCTGACAGCAGCCTGAACGTGAGCTTCATTAGTTTGTTTGGAAGGCGCTTTAAGGTGAGGGCAAACAACCCACTGCTGCATACCAAAACAGATCCATGTCACCGCTGCGGCCATGCCCCCGGCCGGGAGATCACCAACACCGTTAGTTTTTCTACCGTGATCCCACCGCCCGGGCCCTCTGACGCCCTCATGACTCCAGTCCGCTTGGCTCACAGCTACCCCATCGACCGCCGCTGCTGTTGGAAACACTCAGGCACACCGAGGCGCTGCCAACCTGGGACGCCCCAGGGTCCCCTTTGCCCTTGATGCATGGATCCCAACAGGACTGGGGGCAGAGGAATGAGAAGGAACATGTTCCTCTGGTGGATCTTACTGCTTTTATCCCAAGGATATATATTTCACAATGTCCGAGGGGAGCTCCCTTTTATGTTGGGGAACAATGCCGCCATGCTGGTCAACTGGTGAGTGAAAAAAGTACAGTTTTAAAGGTAACCAGAGAAGTCCAAACAAGTGATTAGCATTTGGAAAAGTAGCTCAAACACATCAAGGAGAAGTCTTCTTCACAAGCCCTACAGGTCTCTGCAAACTGAAATAGATACTGTAGACAGCTTTAGAGTGAGAGAGTTATTTTGAGGGGAAAGATGTTGCCGTCTGAGACAGGAGAAGCCAGATCCTTTAAAGACAAATTGGTTGGACTAATCTCCTTCTTCATGCTCTGAAATTGGAAGTGTTGTCTAATTTTAGATCTGCCAAGGAAAGGGCTCACAACAACACATCAATCCAAGACAGCCCCGGTAATGGGCCTTCACACACACACATGAAGGTTTCATGATCTTTGCTGATTATCACTCGGACGGGACGAAAGCTTACAATTTCTATTTTGTCATATCTCCAGGAATTTCAGAAATGGAATCATTGACTAACCTAACCATGTGTAGATTCCTAGTCTAATATGCATTGGTGTTTACCATTCCACACATACTCTGCATACATTTTTGACAGACTTTAAAACCATAGGAGTCTCATTTGTGATTTTTTTGATTGATGCAAATGAACTCTCACTTCGTCAATAACAACATTAGAGAGTCGAGACAATCCTTAATTGACTGCTGCTTTGAATTCCAAGTTCACAAGTGGCTTCATTACCTTGTCTAGACCCCCAAACCACAGCAGGCGACTTTTTCAGGCTTCTTTTAATCAAGCAGATGACAGCATGCCTCTGCCTTGCCTTGCCTTTTTTTTATCAGCGCAAAGAGAGAGATCTAATGGCCTTCACAGCAAATGCATCTATTTTTGGGACATTTTGTCTCCCACATTATACAACTTTGATGAGTTCTGATGGTGTGCTACCATGTTGGATCACCATGTTTGACTTCCAGAGAGTGTCTTCTTGTTTTCAGTTTTTTTTTTAAAACCTTGATACTTCACCTGAATGTGGAGTTGTCTACTATTAGATATAGTACTTTGTGGCAGGGTTGTGCAACACACACGACAACTGCTAAGTTTCTGTTAACGTTGGTATAATAGCATCAGGTTGTTACATGAATGCACAAAAAAAGACATATGGCAGTCAAAATAAGTCCTAAACCATATTTGTTCAGTGGCAGCTGAATTATAGCCCGACCGATTAATCGACAGGCCGATAATATCAACTGATATTAGCATATCAAGTGACTATCATATCGGCTAAATTTATCTCCGATATGTACCGATAATACAAGATTTATTCAACAGTTAAACGGACTTAGCACTGCATAGACACCGTTCACATGATTTATCGACCAGCCGATAATATCAGCCGATATTAGCATACGGTTAATTTTATCTTCTCGTCCTTATCCCTTTATTCCTTCTCGTGCTAATACAATGAATGCTGTACATTACTTATCTATGGTGGCTGATAAGGACAAAAAACTGGAGTCTGACCGATTAATCGGCCAGCCGATAATATCAGATATTAGCATAACCAGTGACTATCAGTATCTGCTCATTTTATCTCTGATATTATTCGATTTATTCAACAGTTGAACAGCATTTTATTTGAGCATCGTTGTTTTACACTAGAGGTTCTCTTTAACTAGCAGTTTGCGCTATATGGATAGCTGTATGAGTCTCAACACTTGATTTCCAACAGTTCAACACTAAATTACCCAGACCAAAGCTTTAAGCTGCAGAATTGATTATTTATTGTCTACAGTCCATGAATGTTCCAATGTTTTAACTACCATGAGCACAGCATACCGGCAATCGTGGTCCACTCTTTGCATGTCAGTGCAGAGTCTTGTTCCTTCTACCTGTTGGTATCAGAGAAAAGTCCCTTGTTTGAACTACACGGTCATACTCCAGGATTTAGGTACATTTTCTTATAAAATGAAGAAACTTACAGCTCCCAAGATTCCCCGAGAGACTGGTGCAATAGACAGGTATTTAAGAATTTAGTTACACCATATAAAGGTGGTAAGTAAGTAGTTAGTCAAGTAAAGAGTCGTCATAGGAGGCTACAGCATAGAACGATGCAGCATCATATTTCCAACACGCTAACATTGGCAGCATCATTGATGGCAGAATCAAAGAATACTTTTAGCCTGTCAATCCAATCAGCCTCTGGCCTTTTATCAACACTTAGCAACAACTAGCTAAGTGGTCGAAATGATAACTGATCAACCGCCCAGTTAGAAAACCAGCAATTCAGTCCTCTAGCCAGACAGAAAATTCCCTCCATCAGCCTATGAACCCTTTAACCCTTTTGTTTCAACAACTGAGTCAGCCAGCAGAAAACAAGATTTTTAGTGAGGCTGTGCAAACAGGGGGAAATCCATCCTTTTAAAAAATGATTCTACTAGAAGCTGGGAGGGAAGTGTATTACAGTTCCCTTTTACATAAGAGTTTTAAGCAGATGCCTTTAAAGGCCCCCCCTCCCCCACCTCACCTCCCTCCTCTTGTCAGAGCGAGGCTGTCCAATCCCAACACTCATAATATCACCTTTAAAAAAAAAAAAAATGTTTCACCATAATATCAGCCGTGAAACTGACCCATGGCTCGGATATAGCTCAGAGTTATTTGGGTCATTTGTGTAGCATCATAGTGTACTTACTTTTTACGTTTTTTTTTTTGTTACCATGAATGTGAGGACAGTTGGTACGCTCACAAAGAGAAAATGTGCTGAAAGCCATACCCATCAATACAGATACACTCAGAGACAGCCGACCGACCAATCCCTCACTGATCTGTGATGTCATCTTCTTATGCAAAAGCTGATGGGTGGTTGGATGGGGGGGGGGGATTAACCCTAGGTCTCAGGTCTCTATCTAGCTCCATGTGTGTGGTTGTGTGTGCGTGTGCACACATGGGCTCATGCGGGGATAAGTGTTGTTTGACAGTGCTGTCCGGGCCTGTAGACAGCTGGTTGTGTGAGGGATAGGCTACTCTCCTCCACTGCCCTCCACTCATTGACTCTGATCTCCTGATGTTTCCCACATTTACTCTGCCTCGCATGCCCGTCTCTCCCGCTGCATTTATCTTTATCTAATCTAGAATTAGTTACATCACTTTATGTGGTATTATATTTATAATGCATTGCATGCAGTGTGACTTTACTTGTGAAAGGGTGCACAAGTAAAGCAAAGATGTAGGGTAATTGAACGGGGGTTGAATTAAGATGTGGCACCGTCCTTTTGGCATGGTGTGGATCGTTCTGCTTGGTGTTTCTTCCTTTGAAATAAAAAAAAACAACTCACTGTAGTACAGCATCAAAGTGAGGAATCAGATTGCCTGAGTAGTGTTGGTTACAGTAAGAGCCCGACCGATAAATCGACCAGCCGATAATATCGACCGATATTAGCTTATTCAGTGACTATCGGTATCGGCCAATTTCAGTGCACACATGCGCCGATATTTATCGATTTATACCAGTCAGGCAGCTAATTTGAGTTTCATTGTATTAAACTTGCAGTCCCCTTTACCAGCAGGGTGCGCTATTTAGATTACAACAAGCAACAAGAGTGTCAAGCAGTGATGTTGACTGTTGGAGTTATCAATTATAACGTACAATAATTAAGCGCAAGTGGCGCACAATATTGTCCTCTGCTTGAGCTGCAATTGCCTGTGGCCTGCATTGTGAAGTTAGCAGGCTAATGTTAGCACAGTTTGGTAAACTCGTAGCTTCATTTTGGATATACATATATATAAATGGAATGACTGTGATCTATGACTGTGTGAAAATGGTCCTCTTGTATCATAACAACGAGCTACCGCCGCCTGCTGGCATGGAGAGTTATTGCGTCCCATGCATGCGCAGAACGAACGTGGTCGTTGGCCGTCGGCTGGAGTCTTTGCGGTGTGTTCAAGTGCAAATTTTTGGCGCCACAGACGGCCTTCGTCCCCACTATTTCTTTGCCGTCTGCATGGTGTGTCAGGGCCTTAAAACAGCTTTATACGCAAGGCCATCCTCTCCATGTAAACATGATGTTAACACATCTCAGACAACAACACAGCAGGCGGGACTCATGCTTCTCACTCATTGTAGACAGTCATGACTCAGAGAGACATTTACAGTATAGTATCATTATCACAGTATTATTGTTTTTTTTCCCCTTTCTTCTCTTAGCTGCAGACGTGCTTCTAAACAATCTTCCTTGGCACATTACACAAGGATGTTCTTTTTGACACAAACACACCCACCTCTGCTCGTGTGTATGTCCTCTGTCCCGGCGGTTTGCCCGATAAGATGGTACTGATTGAGTCTGGAGCCGTCCTCGGCCACCACCACGGATGTAGCCGCTCCCTTAGTCCAAGTGTAGACCACTTCTGACACCGGGTAGGCATCTGAGAGAGAGAGAGCGAGAGAGAGAGAAGGATGGCTGTAAATGAGCTCTCTACAAGTTAAAAGTTAGTTCCAACCCTGTCATTGCTGATGCTATGTGTAGCTGCCAATATGCGTGTCTGCGCTCATGCAGATTCCGGCTGGCGCTTCTTGATTAGACGGCAGGCTCAGAGCCAAAAAAACACAATTTGGCTTGCATGCCTTTACTGTATATGCGTGTGCTGACAGACATTTGAGTGTAATTTTTGTTTAAACCACACACACTTCTGGGTCAAGGGGTGAGCTCCCCTGTCGGCAGGAACCAGACCGAGTCAGATTAACCAGAATGTGTTGCATCACACTTGTGATGAAAAAAAAAAAGGAAAAAAAAATGGAGCACAGATTTTGAAGCCTCTGCTGCTATTTCATTTCCGCATGTTGGATCATGTGCAACCATCAGCAAATCATCTCAGTCAAGTGAAAAGTAGAAATGCAGGGGGATGGAATTGAAACTTGCACCCCATGATGGACGTGTCTTCTGTCTTTATCTGTAGAAGTCCAACTTGTGCACAATGTGTAAAATGTGATAGTGTATGTTATTGATTCAGCATTCCTCTTTATAATCAGTCTTGTATCAAAGCTTTGATACGCAGCATCATAAAATGTTTTTAACTACCTCCCCCCATCATCCCCCGATACAACTTTTCAAGGATTCAGGCGGAGCCTCTGGTCTTGAAAATAGAAGCCAATGCGGAAGTGCAAAATCCTGCAGTTCTCAGAGTGTCCACTTGATGCTAGCTCCACAGTCAAAAAAGCCAGGGGGGGGGGTCATTGCATTTAAAGAGACACACACACCAAAACGGAGCGTTCTGAGAGAGCTGGTTTATACAGGGTCACAAACCTCCTCTAGTGCTTGATTCATATTCATATTTTTGACCAAAGCACGGCACAGATGTTTCATTTAGACCACAGGGGACTGTTTGAAAAGGGGGGATAATATGTCCTCTTTAAATGCTCCATTCTGATTTTATGAACGATAAGTGTTATCCATAGTTAGGCGAGTAGCTGACAGGCAGGCGCGATGTAACAGTTTGTCATAAGGCTTAAAACCCGCCTCAGCTCCAGCTGTTGGCCTGTCGTAAGGTTGACTGAATGTTAGGGTGAGACAGGATTTCCAGCATGGCGCTGGATGAGCCGCTGAGCCTTTGGAACCCCCTGCTATAACAGATGGCTGACGTCACTCAGGCGTTTCGCCCGTTAATAATTACAGTCTATGATTGCAGCAGAAAACAGAAATTTGTGATCAAACTGTATCATATGCATGACATAAAGTAAAATAATATTGGTCAAGAAAACTGCAGCCCATGCAGCCACAAATGTGCTTTGTCAACTAAAACTTTCTGGGTATTGAAAATTGAGTAATTATGTACATTTGCAAACCAAAACTGCATTAAAATATGAAATGCTTACATCTTGTTTTGCTGACTGTCACAAACACTTGTTAAACCAAAGGTTTGACCTAACAGGGTTGGCATTGTTTATTTATGGTCAGCAGATAAGTTCTTTACTTGAGTGTTTCTATTCTCAGTGTTGACTTGGCAGCTCAGTACTGGTACACAATGCTTGTAGTGTTTAAATGTGGATGTTGTCAGGCCACTGGCCACGCCCTTACTTAGATTAGAATAAGAGATTATTGGTGAATTTCATTACGCTTGGTTCGGGGTGGGGGGGGAGTTAGGGTTAGAGCTAAAGAGTTTGGCAAACCAGACGATGCACCGGTGCCAACTTCACAACACTTCACACTTGCTGCTTTGCTCGCGTCCTATTTGTGGAACACAACTCAGCCAAAGTCGTCACTTACTATTACGCAATCTGCAGAAACTGTCTGAACATTGTAAAGGAAATAAGGTTCCTTTTTGATTTTTTTTTTCAACCTTTGTTTTTCCAGCAGTACCCTGAAAAAATTTACATGAAGTCATAAATGAAGTCCAGGTTGACCTTGAATAATTTGATTTATTGAATGGAAAGTTCAAAGAACAAATACTGTACCCCTTCATGTAAAACATTATTGACTGTTGTCTGTGTAGGTTCACAGTCGTCATGATACTGCCAATTGAATCCAAAAGGAAACTGGTTAAGATTCTTGGAAATGTTTTGCCTATTACCCGCAAGACTTGTTTAGTGTAATTCACTTTTGAATAAAGCTTTGAAATATTGGCTGATACAAAAAAGAATTGGACTATCACACTTGAGTTGATGGTGCTTCCTCAAATAATTTTAAGGGCTTTTACACTCGCAGGAAACTCGCAGGAAACTTGCCAGAAGGAGTTGTTTGTGTGAACGCTTTGGCCCAGGGCTCGACCTTGAGTGACTTAACCTCCAAAGATAAAAGAATATGATACTGTGTCGCATAAACGTACTAAATGTATCCCTAAGTAGAGACTCAAAACAGCCAACTTTATCCTTATTGAAGTATCCTGCAAGAGTTTAGGGGTCTGTCCTTGGACACAGTGAGAGGGAAAAAGCCAGAAAGTAGGGGGAGAGAGAGCGATATGCTAAGGTCTGGACTGATGTTAGATGTCATGAAAGAAGAAAAAGCATCTTGATGTTAAGCTCTGGGGATGATTTTTCGCAGGAGTCTGTAAATTTTGTTCAGGTTTCTTAAAAAATATTCAATCATTTCTTCGAAACCCAAAGTCTCCAAGAAGAGCGGCAATCATGAAATGATTCACCACTTACAGTATGTTCAGCAGGATTTCTGTGGGATGAAGGCGAGAAAGGCTGAGGGATGACTCATTAGACCATATTTTGTTGTTTTGTCCTTGATCACCTTACATCATCATCTACAAATTTATGCACTGAGTAGAAGAACTAGCGGTTCCCAAACATTCGTCTTTAGGCCCGACTAGTCTTTTTTTTTTTTATAGAGCGTCGTCAATGGTAATCTTGCTGTTATCATAGAAAATAGTTGGTATTTAGCAAGTTCCATCTTGTCTGAAAGAACTTTCTTGAATGAGAGCCTTTTTCAAAACATGTGGTTGTGCTTGTTGCCATGGTTTTCAAGGCTGTGCATCAGTGTTTCACAGTTTTTTGCTTCTGATACATCAACAACATAGACAAAACAATGGTCCAGCACAACACACTAAGTTTTAAATGTTTCTTTTCTCTGAACATGATCACATCCATGGACCAACCATTAAGTTAATACCATACACAACTGTGTTAACTACTCAGTGTATTTTTAGTAGCCTAGTGGCTTAGGGCCAGCGGGTAAATTAGAACCAGGTAGTTTAGGCCAGAATAAGGGATCAGTTGCCCTCTACCTTATCCAACCTCACTTACTACTATAACCTTTCTAAATGTGGCCCAGGACTAAGCTTGCAACTTTACCTTACAGAAGGACAATGCTGAAGCTACATATTGGGTCAAAGCGGTGATCTTATCTTTGTGTTTTCTTTTAACATATAAGAAATTTAAAGTGCACTTCAAGTTGGCAATGTAGAAGCCGCCATAACACTTACTGGTCTTTGTTACAGAGAAACCTCCTATTGGAAAGCTGAAGAAAGAGTTGAAGGTGAAACTAGCTTGTGAGTTAGCCGTGTGTTTCCCATTAGGGTTAGCGGTTTTGATCATCCGACATCTTGGTAATGCTTTCAGTTTCCTGTGTACCAAAAACAATGAAGTTCTGAAACCAACATTGCAAGTGGAAAGATCCCAGATTGTAAATATTTTAGATACATGTGTATTCATTTCAGCATAAATATAACTGGTAGATGGGATTCATTCTTAGCACTTGCCCAATGATAACCATATTGACCAACCAGTGGATGCATTTAAAATACTGTTTAGCGTTTTGGTAATGTGCTGAAACAATCTTTTGGTCTCTGGCCATTTTTTTAAATTTCATGATCAGAGATTCCTAAGGGATATAGCAAATGGATAGATTGATAGTAGACAACTGCGTTTTCGTTCTGTAGAAACGATGCTTTAAATCATTGACATTTATTGCATTGAATGTGGGGGTTAGGTATCTATGGTGAAATGCCTTCTGAGGACAAAGGCTAAATCAGGATTGAGGTCAGGCCGGATAAGGACATGCTAAAAGAAACATTGAAAAAAATAGATTTTTAACATTGCCAGTAAAATACAGTGTCGCTATTAACACATTATTCCTATTATACACTTACACCTCTCACCTACAGGGCAAAACACTGAGGTGATTAGGTTAGAGTTTGCCACGGGTAGGCCCAGCAGCTCCTTACACTGTAATAGGATTGCAGTCAAGTGTGCTTCTCTTAAATAGTGAATGTGGATGGAGCGCGTCTCACAGCAATCTGGGGATAAGAGCCTCATCCCTTTAGCCCAAGAGGCTTCCAAGGTGTGGCTTTTGGCCAGATCTGTCTTTAAATACCCCCAGGGCCACTCAAGTGTCTATACATGTCCTCACTGCTAGGTCACACAAACAAGTCATCCTGTTAAGAAAGCATTGGTGAGAACCCTCATGATCACTGCCATATTTTAAGTGTTGAATATCCAGTTATCTCTTTTCTTCTCACAGTATCCTCTTGTAGAGTTAGTCAATAGTAGGGATGGGTACTGAAATCTGGTTCCAATATGGTGCCGGTACCAACACGTCCGAATCACAGCACAGATTTGGGTGCAACATTTTGGTACCACTCGCTAAATGTCAGAGCCAAAGGCGCTGAACCTTCTTTACCTTATCTGATCAGAGTGCTGTCCAATATTGTCCTCCGGCATTCACAAATGGCCATCACAGGCAACCGGAGAATTATCACAAGGGTAAACATCGTTAAAGTTACACACTGATGGCAGGAGGTTAAGTTAACTTAAAGTTAGCTTAGCCAGTAGCCTCCTCCCAGCAACATGCCATAAGCAAAGCAGGTGAATTTGCTCAACCTACCGGCCATAATGGCGGGTAATTAATGTAAGGTTAAAGAGTGATTTGCGACAGAAAGGTAGGAAAATTTAATCCAATCCTGCTGCGGGTTCCGCTCTGACTCTAGAGCCAGACGGTCCTACGCGCTCACTGACCACAGGGCTCGACGTCTTCGGAGAGAGACGGTGCCAGTGACTGTTCACAATGTGCTGTAATTGGCTCGATGGCTCGATGAGCTCAGTGTGGCACGGATTAGCATCTCCATTTCAACAGGTCTACCCGCTAAAGGTGTGTTTAAAATGATGTCTCGCTTGTCCTAAGTCCAAGAGGATTAAAAATAAGCTCGCAGTGGCAATGACTCGATGTCAAAAGGGGAGCGGAAAGTGTTGTAACTCCCTACAGTGTTATCGGAAATCCCCGCCAGGTGTAGCTCAGTCAATCCTATGATGAACACATTTTTATTTCCGAGAATTTCTCCACAATAAGAGTCCCCAGTTGTTATGTCTTGGAATGCTTTTATTGTGAAAATGTGTCAGGAAATTAGGTGTTTTCAGCAGTAGCTAATTAACACAACTGAAATGGGAAAGAAACAAAACTTTACCCGGATGAATAAACAGAATACAGTGACTTGTATTAGTGTACTTGTTTAGTCTTTGTTTCAGTGGGAATTTTGTTCTTGTTTGGCTTCCCTTCACTCCTGTAATGGTTTGCTCCAATTAGGGCGGGGCCAAGTGAAGCATAAAAGTAGAATCCGCCATTATCTGGGAGGAAAACTGTGGTTTGTGGCAGCTTGCTGTGAGGCTGTGTTGCTCAATTTGAAGTTCACAGTTGACTTTGCAATGAAAAATGTGTTTTTTATTTTGCCAACCATCACCTTGTTCCTTTTTTCAGGCTGTAGCTTCTTGATTTGTTCATGTATTTTATAGTTTTAAGATGCAGGCCTGTGCTTACAGTAGCTCAAGTCCATTCCCAATTGACCCATATCACCACTAATACAAAACCAGATCAGTGTTCTTTACCTTCATTTGCCATGAGTGGCTTTTGATACTCAATGCTTTCATCTTTCACAAGCTAATGCTAGCAAACACAGCCAGATAGGCAAACATACATTAAAATATAGTTTCCAAATATAGTTGATACTGGCATTTATGGAGACACTGTGGGCATTCACAGCTCCAACAAATTAACAAAGGTGGCCTCAAGTCAGCGAAGTAACTGAATTGTAGCTAGTGAGCAGCTCATCCTCAGTTTACAATAAAGCCAACAACCGTCATCGCCTTAACGTTACTTAAGGTCCTGAGGCCACTGACATGTTTGGCTCCCTCGCCCATTAAAATTAAAAAGAAGAAAACTTGGACTAGCTAATTGATGCACGACACATGCATTGATCTATTCTCCTGTTAAGCTTTTTCTAACAATGATAACCATGCTGTCAAGAGCATTTAGTCGACTTACTTGCCACAACTTCCTTTCACAATGAGCAATGCAACATTCAATTCAAATTCACACCCTTGTGAATAGGCTGCCACAAAGAATACATGGAGAACCCTCCAAATCAGTAAACACAATGTTTTAACTCCTCAATAAAACACTATGGGTGATTGTCTCTCTGTGGCATGCTTCCAATAACAATAACTTGTGCTGCCAACTCTTGACTCATCATTGTTGCCAAAAAAATGTTGAAAGTGAAACAAAAGATGCTACATGTTTAGCAGCAAGGCCACACTCTGGAAACATACTCCATGTCCCAGTTTTCCTTGCAAGGAACTCTTAATGTTTCCCATGAGCGCACACAGGTTGGTCGATAGCTTCTGGATGGGAAAACAGAGAGGGTCGACGACTATCGAAGCTTTTACTTTTTTGGGCGCGTTTATACAGTAGTATGCAACCCCAGTCTCAAATGTGTATTAAAAGTGTTCGAGCCTCGTTACCATGTCCCAGCCTGTGTGCACATAAGCCAGTCCATTGTCCCCTGTTGGAATGCACGAGTGGTGATAACAACTGTGACTGCACACTTTTGTTGCCTTATTCCTGTTGAGCCAAATTCATATTGAACCGTGACCCCTGTGAACCGTTACACCAGTAAGTCCAGTTGTTTGGAAAGTGTTTTTTTCACCACAGGTCACACCTACCCAATCACACACTGATGGCAGAGGTTGCTATGTAAAGTGACCATCAGTATTGACTAATCCCATTCATACTAGGGCCCGAACAATATAGGATTTTTGGTTCCAATACTGATAGTCACTGGATATGCTAATATCGACCGATATTATCAGCCAGCCAATTTAATTGAAAAGTGTATTCATACACATTCTCACACCACCGACAAAGCAGCGGGAGCAACTTGGGGTTAAGCATCTTGCCCAAGGTCACATCGGACATGTGGCTGCAGGTCAGGAGCTGGGGATCGAACCCCCCGACCTTCCGGTTGAGAGACGACCGATTCTACCAACTGAGCCCCTGTCAATGTTGTGAAAAGAACTTGCACTTAAAAGAAGCCGGTAACTCAGCCGTTATAGTCACACCATTGTTGCCAAGAGAAAGCAGTGGCTGTTAAAGTCACAAAATCTTTGTCTAAATGCGGACTTGTGTGTCATTACTTTGACAAAAGAAACGCAAACTCAGCAATCTTTTAAAAAAACCTCCCTACAGCAGCAGCAGCAGCAGCATCATTTATTTCAATTACATTGTCTCAAAATGACCCTTATTTATTCCCAACCTGGATTAACTTTTCTTTTTATCACCACCATACATCATAATAACTGGGATTAGTACAGTGAAGACATTCACATCAGGGATTTTTTTTTTTTTTTTACTCACAGCTGCCAAACTTGAGAGGGCAGGCATGTGCGTCCATGGGGAAATCCTCCAGCTGCATGGGGCATTCTGCAGATATGGTCAGCCTAGGAAAGAGCACATAAAGCAATCAGCATCTTAAATGAGTCATTTTGAGACACAAGGCAAATGGACGGCATTTGAATGTATTGTGTTTACACTCAACCTTTAAATATATCTGTCTTACACAGAGCATGGCGCAATTACAGAAACGGCTGCGATTACTGAGTCACTAAAATTACAGGGTTCAAAGATTACAAGATGGGAGGTAGCAACTGTCCTGTCTTTGCAATAACAATTAGAGATTCTCTAACAGGATAATACCATGAACACACATTGGGTTAGGGTTAGGGTTATGATAGAACAGCTTCATCTAAGAGATGTGCAAGTGCAGCATTTCCCTCACTTAACAACTCGACTATTACATTGGAAACACTGCCACCTGGTGGTCAAATGTCCCTTCTGTTTAACAATCCTTGAAGAGGCGGCGTTATCTCTTAATGGTACCCCTAAGTGTCCTGAATGACCCAATGATAATCAATGTAATAAATATCAAGCAAACACACATTAATTCCCCTTTTTTCAACGCTATCTGCCCTTCATTGGGTACATCCATCTTGTTATTCTTGCTCATTGCATGATGATAAACAGTCAAACATTGACATGATGGTGTGAATTCACTGATGTTAATAGGCTAGATAAAGCAGCATGGTACCAGTTGTGAAAAAAAAGAAAAAAGCATGCATTTATTGAATCAAGATTTGTTTCCTGCGTCAACCACTCAGGCGTATAATCAATCCTCACAGCTGCCTCAGATCACTGCCATCTTTTTTCTTCGCTTGTTTACTGAACTACATCATGATCTTAGAGACAAATGGGGAACAAAAAATCTGCATCGAAATACTCTCGGGTCCATGTTTTCTTTATGCTTCAAAACCTCCCACATGTACAGTATGTACTGTATCAAGATCTGCTGCAGGATGTCTCTTAATTGTTGTGTAAAAGTAAAGGAAGCATAACAATGAGGGGGGGGGGAAGCCATCTTCGGTCCCTGCAGAGATGATGATTTTGTGCTCAGCAGCCAATTGCATTATTGCATGAGCACGTTTGTATATCGGAGGGGATAAAGTATCACGAGGATTAATAAATAAAAACAAGACTGTTGGCAATTACAGCATGCTCTAATTATTCATATGGCCTTGCCCCATTATCAGGGATGTCTGGTATGATAGTTGGGAGAAAATAAGTTCCCTTTTAAAGCCAACAAAGTGCAGCTAGAATTTAAATATCAGGGGAAGAACAGCAAAATAGATATAATTCCCATGATTCACTTGGCCTACAGCCATTATGAATGTGGTTGAAAGCAGTACAACAGAGGGGGGGGGGGGAACCCCCAGAAAAAGACCAGCAGATGGCCCCTTAAAACCTGTGGGAAATCTAAAGTTTCCAATACGCCTGACCTTGCAAGAAAAGTCGAGGACTTGGACGACACAACAAAACAGAAAACGGGTTCTTGAGTCCAGGGGGGGCTTAATGCCGTATTAGCCACCGCACAGCCACGCCGCACCATCTGTCTTCTTACACTAACAAGCACTTTTTTTTTTTTTTTTTTTTTTTTTTTGATCGCTTGTATCACACGCAATCTGCCTCAAAGGAGTTAGGGTTATATATATATATATATATATATATATAAAATAATCCAAGGTGTGAAAAAACAACAAGTTTGGTGTTTTTAAATCACAAGGAAATAAGATTGAATGGGGGCGGACTTTCAAACTGCCCACCTACTGCAGCATCTCTATTGTGTCTATCTAGTGTTAATGGTGTGAGATGCAATCAACCAATGGAAGCATTGACACTTCAACCAGCTGAGGAAGACGTATTTGTTGCAAAGCTCTCAGCTACACAGCTACAGCATGACAGGTAGTAGCATCGCCATAGAACTCATGTGGATTAAACTTGCAAGGGGTTGTGAAACAGGCCGTTGTGTGAATTATCCATGAAGACAAACGCCCGAGAAAATTCCACTCGATAAAACCAACTGCTCTTCCTCGTGGGTAATGGTTTCCAAATGAGGCCGCGGCGCCATCACATTTAGCTGTGGGAGAGAGGCGAGAGAAGCCTTCCTTCATGTGGGTGGAAGAGGATGTAATGTTTGTAATATGCACTTACATTACCTCTGCTTACTGTGGTGTACTGTACATGTTTTATGAGTGGTATTTGTGATGCATGTGTGAGGATGTGCATGCATTAGATGTATGGAAACATGGAAACGAGGTTTGGACAGATTTTGAAGAGTTTCTATGTGGAGTTCTCCAGGCTCCCAGTTCTCCCACAGTCCAGAGACATGCTTGTTAGATTAATTGGCGACTCTTAAAGTGTGAGTATGGCTGGCTGTCTGTCTCTATATGTCAGCCCTGTGATTGATTGGCGACCAGTTAAGGGTGTAACCCCGACCTCTTGCCCAATGACAGCTGGGATCGTCTCCAGTCATCCGCGACCCCAAATGAGAAAAAATCAGTATAGATGACGGATGGATGGATTTCAGTGTAAATGGTCATACATTGGCCGTGTTGAAGGATGTTTTGATTGCATGTATCTGTGTGACTTCAGACAGTTATGCCCTTGTTTCAGAGGTCTGCCACATGAAACACAAGTTCACACAAGTGCACAAAGCTGGGGTCTCCAGTGGAAGCAAATATGTTAAATTATTTTCCCACTGGGATCAAAGTCACAAGGAAGTCTGATTTGGAGCTCATTTATTGGACTTTGAGCTGGGAGTGAAAGATCTCTTGGTTGCACCAGGGCACTTACACCAGCAATGCCACCATGAGTAAGAACACGAGATACGTTTTCCTCATCTTGGAAGTAGATTTGGGGAACTAATTTTTACATAATGCTATTTGTTTGTACAGATTTTTTTTAAAAGATACACCATTCATTAGATATGACAGCTGAAGAGAGACAGGACATGTTGGGAGAAGAGAGAAGGGGGGGGATGACATGCAGTAAAAGGGCCGAGGTCCGATTGGACCCAAATTGCGACGACTACAGCTTCCATTCATGGTGCACGCAAATTAATCGCTAGGCTATCCGACGCCCCTTTATCAGCGTTTTTGATTAGTCCATAGACATACTTGTTAGGTCAATTGCCGACTTTTAAAATGTGAGTGCGGCTGGTTGTCTGTCTCTATATGTCAGACCTGTGATTGATTAGCCAGTCCAGTGTGTAAACCCAGCTTCTCGCCCAATGACAGCTGGGACCGGCTCCAGCCCCGCCGCGACCGGCTCCAGCCCCGCCGCGACCCCAAAACGGATATTGTTATTCTGCAGGAGTGGATTGTGTGATCCTCAACCAAGCAAATATCACCAAAAACACAGAGGGTTTGACTAGGAAAAAGAAAGATCTATTACCCAGAAAGCCCTGTGTTTGTGTGCAAAAGAAATTTAAATCAGTGCATCCTGCAGTTAAACTCAGAGTACACCAACAATCTGCTGCTTCTTTGAAACTCGACTGGCAGTCAATCCGATGCCATTTTTTGAGATTACAGGAAGCACAATCTCTCTTCCTTACTCACATGTGCGCAGCTTTTAAAAAAAATATAAATACATGTAGGCGTGGATTTCCATAAAAAATTACATATACGTTACACACACACACACACACAATCCCTTCTCGGCTTGAAGGCTTGAGGTCAAAGTTGAGTGTCACAACTGGTTTGTGCACATGTGATGTGTGTTCAATGTGTGCGTCGGGTGCATGTGACAAAGAAGGGGGGACTATAAATAAACACTTCTTTCTTCGGATATGTATGCGCGTCAGTGTGGTTGCATATGGATAATCTGTCCTCCGTCCAGTGTTTTTTTTTTTTTTTTTCCTGTGGGTGGCATTGGTATCAGATAGAGTGCTCTCATCCGTGATACAGTCACTCTTAAGTCCTGCAAGCTACAGTAACTCCTGAGGATAAGCACAGCATTATTGTAATTCTCTGATCCAAAGGTCACACTGATTCCTGGTGGTTACACTGCCTTTGCACTAAAAAAAATCCTGGCAGAGAAACAATCTCTTTTCAAAGTATTTGTAGATATTTCCTACAATTTTGTATTATTCACTAGAAGTTTTTTTTTTTTTCTTAATGGTCACCATCTGGTTGCCGGCCTTGTTTTTTCCTCTTAATTTCTAATTTACCACGACCATCCCTGCCAAATGTATAGTTCACAGCGAGGCTGCTTTTCATAATAGATGATCTCCCTCTGTAGTCTTTTTTTTTTCTTTTTTTTTCTAAAAAACCCTACACTTAAAGAGACACACACATATCGCATAAAAAGCATCTTATATTGGGTTTAAATTCAAAAATTCAAACTTAAAGGAAATCAATTAAACATTAAATTAAATATAAATGTTTGCTCTTGAGTTTGCTTTTTCTGTCATGTGGAAAATCAAGTGCCTCTGATGAGCCACCGGGTGGCACTGTTTTCCTTCAGTCTGAGTCGCATGAAGACTTCAGAGCTGTGGAGTGTATCATGTGTCAGCCCTGTCATCTCTGCACTTTCCTTAACCTCACATTGGAACTTGAGTTCAGTCAAATATTTTAGCCTCTCATTGAAACACTGTGCCCTTGAAACGTCTTCTGAATGACAGGGACTGAATCACCAAATATTCGGCTTGTAAGAAGCGAACCATTGACCCCGTAGTTCATGAACTCTGCGTCAATAATTTGTCACAAAAATTACCTCATGGTGTAAAGCAACGTGCCGTCGTCCTGCAGCCTCAGCAGCTTGTTGGGCGTCGTCATGTTGTGAGCTATCGACTTCTTGCCGTTGAGGAAGAAGGTGTCCGGGGTCCAGATTTTGCTCGCCAGCAGGTTGTTCAGCGGCAGCATCTCCATCGGCCCTTTGAAGCACAGCCGCTCGTCCTTCCAGCTCTGACGGAAGAACACGTCTATGGTGTATTCCTGAGACCAAAAAGTACATGGAATATCCTTTCAGTGGAAAAGGCAGAACCTCAAATATTAGTGAGAATAAAACATTTGAACTTCTAAGCTATTCAATGTTTACCAATCCGTCTCCTCTGTGATCACGTCATCACAAAAGATGCTAAAAGGATGCTAAAGGCAAAAGATCTGCATTTTTAAGAGATGCTTGGGTTGACTACGTTTGAAGGAGATTAACATCTATTCCACTCATAAGTGTCATCACAGCGAGCTCTCGCTTCCTGATTCTGGACTCCGTTTTGACACTAATTTAATTTCTTGACATACAAGATGAAGATACTTTTACAATCGATTCTGAAAAGAAAATCTAATTTATTTATCCTGGCCTACCCTGCGTTGGTTTGGAGCGTTGCTTGTGCACGTCCTCAGAAATGGGTAAGATGCAATATGCATATAACCTCTAGGGGCAGTGTAGAGTTGTCATGGTGATGAGACCGGAAATGGCAACATCGAAGACACCAGGAAGCCGCTACAACAGTGGCCGAAAGTTTAGAATAAAAGTTAATAGATCGAGATCGCTACTACATCTCTACTTCGGTGTTTGATTAACGTGGTGCTCCCTCTAGAGGAATCCTCTGGTAATACATGTTGTACATCGGCAAGTATGTAAACATTTACGTAGCAGGTTGTCTACACATGGTTCAAAAGCGAGTATATTTGAGCTCTTAGCCTTCATATATATCCACTTAGTATTTAAATATTGGGAACAAATATTGCGGTGAAAAAATGTGTCATGAACGAACTTGTTTTTTGAAATATAGATTACCCTTCAAGGTGGAAATGAACCACAATGAACCAGGAGCACATGTTCACAGAGTAATGTCTCTTTTAACACAGATTTAAAATGATTTAATGAATCGATCAAGCGCTCCTGTAAGTACGGAAGAGGATTAGGGCCACTGGAAAAAAAAATAAAAGATTGTTCTGACTTTGTTTTAAATTCTGACTTTAATCTCAGAATTCCAAGAAGTGGCCCTAATCATCTTCCGTGTGTAAGAGATTTTTCGGAGCCAGAATTGAATTCAGACTTTCTTTGCAGAATTCTGAGATTAAAGTCAGAATCCTAAAAGAAAAGTCAGAAACCAAAACATTTTTTTTCCAGTGGCCCTAATCATCTTCCGTATGTAAGAGCTTTTTCCGAGTCAATTACAGGAAAGTGGCAAGTTTTGATCACAGCTTCGTCAGAGAGCGCCAGGTACATGGAAGAATATTTAATGATAGAGGAGAGTTAATGTATTTGGCTACCCAGGTGGAACCTTCAGCATAATGAGGAAATGGATTCCTTAAGAGCTGCCTTCCATTAAATTGTAAAAAGTCATCCCCATCAGTTTTGTCTCATTTGCACTTAAATACAGATTCAGGTCCTGAGTGGGCTTCCAGGGACAAATCTCTCTGTTAGTGTATCGTTGGTGTTTGCTGAAGGTGAACTCACCATCTCTGTGTCGGATACCGGCCCAAAGCTGGTCACAAAAATATTCGTCTTGATCTCGGTGACATTTTCTGTTGGGAGAAAAAAAAAATCAGGGTTTAGATATGAGCCGGTGTCTTCCTCTTTCTCCAACATTAGAAATACCAGTAAAGACAATAGACTGTGTTTACATGGACGTATCGTCCCAGTGATGTCACCCATTGGTTTCTGAAGTAGACTTTTGAAGACCATCGATGGCGCTCGCCAAATTGGAAATGATGTCTCGAACTAACTTTCACAGTGTGATGAGAACGACGTGGCGGTAAAAACATGCTTTTACGGGGTGTGAACGTGACTCGCTTTGGGTCTTTTTGGAGCCAGCCTCAAGTGGACATTCAAGGAACTGCAGTTTTTTTTTGTTACACTCCCGTGATTGCCCTAATTTGTCAACGACGGACGTTGCCGCTTGGCTTAGTCTCAAATAAAATGACATTTGATTCAACCGACGATTGTTTTCAAAATGAATCATTTCGTGGATAAAATCTGCAAAAGGTTTGTGAGGAATGTGGGCCAAAAAAATCCTATCCAACGTCTTAAATTGACGGTTTGGTCAATTTAAAAAAAAATCCTCGTATTGAGACAAATCCACAATTCTATGGTTTCTCTTACAATGCTTCCCTCTGAGATGAGGTGACATATTATTCATGCCGTGTGTTCTAGCAAAGCCCAAAATCCGTCTCTATGCATTTCCATTTGGTCTTGGAGAGTTGGGATTGGCTGGACCCCTTTTGTTGAATGCTCAATGATGGCCCTGAATGTGTCTCTGGCATGTATTTATAGGCCCTCTTGTCAAGGGTAGCAACCGTTACCAGGATGCGAGAGCAGGCTTTTTGCCATGACACATCATGCATTCGGCATGAAAAAAAAAAGCCTGGTTTCTTCCTATGATGGAACGAGCACTACATGTACGCGTGAAACCAAGTGACGGGTGTTCTGCTGCAAATGCGACGAGGTAATCAGTGAAAAACTAAATGTGAAACGCTTTTCCTTTCAGCTGCCTCTCAGAAAAGAGACAACATCCACCTTTTTTGAATTCACTTTGATGGCTCCTCAAGGTCGTCTCCTGTTGCCACGGTGAGGAGCGTGAATAAAGAGCATCACAGCACACTGCAATCAGTCCGTGTTTAAAGACGGGCTTCATTGATTGACGCTCGCTGCCATTGCAACAAAGCATCTTGACGACATGGGTGCCTCCACCTGAGCTGGCAGGGGAGTTGACTTCAGCCCCTGTATCTGCACGTCTACCATTATATCCCCAATGAGCTGGAGTGTGAGATCACAGCGGGAAGCAAGGAGTCCAGGTTGGTAAATTAAGTTGGAATGCTAGGAGGCTTGTATATGGCATTTGTGATGTCAGCATGAAGAGATGCCTTCATTTTGAAAGTTTAAGGACGCACTTTTGGACTTTTTTTCTCTCAGTTTTAGAGACATGCTACATACACAGAGTGGAACCAAGCGTTGGGGATTCCATTGGCATTCTGCAGTGCTTAGAAACTAGCAACTCACCAGCTCATTCATTAATCTGTACCTGGACTTAAACCGGCGACCCTTCAGTTCCCTAACACCCCCCCCCCCTCTCCCCGCTCCCTACAGACTACAGCCAATCTGAAGATTTTTCTAATTGCAAAGTCCAAATGACAAATTAAACCGTCCCCTTTGCACACCTCCAAGCCCTGGGCGGAGCCTGTAGTCGTAATTGTCCAGCAGCCCATCCAGGATCCGGGTGAAAACAGTGCTGTCGTTGGCCGCCGCATCCAAGGCCAGGCAGAACCTACTGGAGGAGAGAAATGGAAACAAAGAGTTAAGAGCTGTTATTTTACTGCAGGATGCCAAAACATGATTTTGATGAATTAGCCTTTCATGTTAAGGACTTAAAAAAACAAAAACAAAGAACACTGTGTTCATGCAAAAGGAATTAAGAGGGGAATTATTGCCATTGCTTGGGGCCCCAGACCAGTAAGGGGGCCTTCAGAGGGCTGTCAAACTTTGAACCACAGCAGCGACCAAAAGATGTGCAAATTTTTGCATGGACAGTCGGAAATGTGGGGCCCCATCTTGACAGCATTCACTCTCATTGCCCCTTGCTAGACCGCTAATGGGAGGGCGGCCCATCAGACTCTAGAGTCGCCGCTAGATGTTGATCTACTCCTGAGATGAGAGTGGACTATCCCACTGATTTATTGACGAGCAATGCCAAAGATTTTTATTTTTTTTCACTTACAGGACATCCACTCAGGCGGTGCTGTAGCAGAGTGCAGCAGAGATAAGTGATCGACCTCCCAGAGCAGAGCAGCAGACATATCTTACTGAATATCTATCAAATGTCTGATGAAACTTTGGAACAGAAAATGTAACTTTTGATCTTTTGAGCAAGACACTTCAACACTTTTAAAAAAAAACATCACATTCTGTTTGTTTACCTCTTTTGGAATCCAAGCAGGAGCAGGACGGGGAAGGCGAGTCTTGCCATGATTGACGTCCGGCTCACTTTGTTGTCACACACACAAAAAAAGAGACAAATCAGAAAAAGAAAATAGCACACTTTAAAAACTGTTGGCATCCGTCCTCTAACGCAGAAAAAAAAAAAAGGGGGACAAAGGTACCTTAATGAGACACAAAAGAAACTCTTCACCCTGCTGCATGCAGAGGCAGACCATTACAGGAATCACTTCATTTAACAGCAAGGCAATCTCTGCTCAATGAGGCTGCGTGCTCCCACTCTTTAACACCCGAGACATTCAACCCACCAAGTCCTCACACACACTAGAACTGCCCAGTTTTTTTTGCAGAGCCCCATTGTGTTAAAGCTTCCACAAACCCATTGCAATTCATATATGGGCCACCCCCCCCCCCCTTCTCTACTTCTCTCCTCCAACCGTCACCTTTTCTCCACTCACCCAAAAAAAAAAAAAAAAAAGAAGCTGGATCCCATTCCGATTTTTTTCCCCATGCTGTCTAATTGCAAAATAAGGGGATGGGAAAGGGGGCTACCTGAATGCTGATTCATCACCACCGAGGTTTCTTCTTTTTTTTTGTTTTGCTGGTGGACTCCGTGTGCAGTGTTGAAGCCGGACGATCCAAGGGTCCTATCACCTAATCACCTAATACCCGAGCGTGTCTTGTTACGTCCCCTCCTTCTCCTTCTTCTGCGCTGCTGGCTCTCTCTCTCTCTCTCTCTCTCTCTCTCTCTCTCTCTCTCACACACTCTCACTCTCGATTAACGGTTCCCCATCAGGCGGTGTTGTAGTAGTCTGTCTGGTCCTTCTCCTCCTATAAACCTACACCGCCTTCCTCCTCTTTTAGTGCCTGCTGCACCACGTCTCTTGTTGGTGTCGCAACAGCAGCAGCATCACACGAGCTGCCTCCCCGGTCTTACCCGCGAGCCAGATTCACACCACATCTTTTTTTTTCACCCCGCCACCTACTGTTGGTGCGAAAGACTTTTAAGTGCTGCAACAGAGGCTAATCATTTTTTTTTATAATAGGGGGGTCTCCCATTGGTGGGTTGCGAGGAGGAGGCGCACTGGCAGTGCAACTGGGATTGAGGGATAGTGGGGCAGATTTTTTTTTTGTTTTTTTACCCCCATTTGCTAAATTAAAAAAAGGACACTAGTGCCTCCAAACCTTTCTGACTTGCCCTGTGATGTGAACTCAGGCAGCCAACCGCGATATTTAAAGCATTTAAGGCGATTTTAGAATGTTTCCAATGGCTTAAACATTAACTTTTCAAACTTCTTCACCGCTGCTAACACAAACCATTTAACCTTTACACTTACTGTTGTCTCGTGTTGCCAGACAAAGTTTTATCTCATCTCAGTTCATTTTTGTTTTCCATGATGGGTCACTGTCATCGAGCTCGACCGATTTATCTGCCGGCCGATAATTTCAGCCGATATTCGCATATCCAGTGAATATCTGCAGCGGCTATTTTAATCGCAGATGTTGCCGATATTACGAGATTTATTCAGGAGTCATTTCGAGTTTCATTGCATTTAACTAGTAGCGCTCTGTCACCAGCAGAGGGCGCTATATGGATTCTATTAAGCATTATCACTCCACAGTGTCAAGTGGTGAGTTACTTTCCAAGTTGAGTGACCATCTTCTCTTCCTTATGATGTATATTTTCACAAGTGCTTGATAATTACATTTGAGGGATCAACCAAATAAAGAGAGTTATCGGCCGATATATCGGTATCAGATTTTCTTTTCTCCCCAATATCGATTTCGGTATTGGCTCAAAAAAATCCATAATCGGTCGGGTCCTAAGCAAAACGTCTGACAATAGTGCTGGGCTAGCAGCTAGGTGGCTATAGTCCCATTATCAAAGTCATATTGCTTCTTCAGATGTTTAGCATTGGCACAATTAGCATTTCTATGTAGCATAAGCTAAGGCATTCTGAGACGGCCAATCGTGCATCGTTCCTCAATACCCATCATGCTGTGCGCTCGACTGAATGTTTGGTCTGTGGAGTTAGTTAGCAGTAGCCTATTACTTATTTATGTTTTTAATGTCAGTATTCCTGTTCGCTCACACCGAATTATCAATAATTAAAAAAAAAATCACTTAAATGCAACTTTAAAATTTAGCTCACTTCTTCTAAATTGTGAAAGCTGTAGTTTTGCTGAAGTTTGTGTGGGATGAGGCTTTCCAGGTGACCTTTAATGCCATCAAGGTAAGCTGTTAACTGGCTATCTTGAATTAAAATATAGCCTACAACAACAACATGAAAAAGTAGCTTTGGTTGCTGCTTTATTTTCTTCTTTTACGGAAAGGTGTCTTGGATTAAAAAAAAAAAGGGAAATCATGCTTTCAGATAACCGCGTAAACAGCAGTGTACTTCTTTGAATAAAGCATCAAGCAGAAGTTATTATCATCCTGACGCTTGCCATAAGAGGGTAGCCGAGTTCCACGTTTCGGAGACTCTAATTAGAGGCAGATATATTTTTTGTTATCCCTCCACGTCCTTTAATCCGTCTGAAGACGCAGTCTGCGGACCAGGAAACATGTGGAAAAACGTCAGTCCCCTCAAGAGCCGGATTTCAGCACCACGTCTGCGGACAGCTCCTCCGGCCGAGAGTGATGGCTGCGTGCGCAAGTGTGTTGATGAAAGAAAACGGGAGAAAGAAGGAAAGATATATGAGTGTCTGCAGATGAGAAGGTGGTGGTGGTGGTGGTGGTGGGGGGGGGGGGGGTTGAGGGGGCTCTCCGATGGGAAATCGATTCCCTTTCAAGGCATCGCACTGTTTTGTCCCCCTGCTTTACTGCAGGCTACACAACCGGAGTAAAAAAACAAAACAAAACAGAAGCACTGCAGACCCAATCTGACCAATTAACTCTCACAACAAAGAGAACAGCTCAGAATAAATCTTATTTTAAAGCGAAAATCCTTTTGAAGTGAATCTGGTGATAACATGCCTGAACAAAGCCTGAAATATCAAAAAACAGACTGATTGAGTAATCAGCTCGCCTTTTTTTATGTTTTCATTTGTTGTAAACTATCATGCATAATCGATGATTTGACCCCCCCCCCCCCCCTTTTTTATTTTCTTTCAGGAATGCTGTTGACGGAAACAAGAAGTTGTTCGCGATCTATGACACGAGGTAGGAAATGTCACAACACCACAAACACACACACACACATTCTTCCAAGAGGTTCTCCAGCTGTGAGCGCGGATGGAGGGAAGGGGGGGGGGTCCCAATTATCAGTTAGAATTCCGGATGACTTCAATGTGTTTTCCATCCTGAAATAATTTATAGCTAGAGCTGTACATTTTCGATAAGAGGACATTAACAGGCTAATCAGTCACAAACATCGATTAACGGGGGTTGATAAATGCAGCCTGTGCCTCCTCGATATTATTCAGGTCCCGCCATTTTTACAGGAAGCACATGGGAAGGGGGATTGGTGCAGATGGTGTGAGGAGCACTGTAAAAAATGTCAGTTTGAACAAGTTAATGGGTGTCAAATTTAGTGGTAAATTTAGTGGTAAAATAGGTTTTTAGTGTGATAATTTGTAGAATTATATTAGCCTTAAAGAGTGATGATATGATTGTGCATTTTATTTTGAAATAAATGTTTTGTTAAAAAATACAGACACAAAATTCCAACCTGGACTGAAGTTTTCACTGATCAAATTGGCATGAGTATCAGGTCGCCTGTTCACACATCTGTACTGTGTAATGACGGGTTTCCATTATGGTGCTTTCACACATGCACAAAACTCCTGAAAGAGCTCGCAAAGAGGTGAATTTTTCAAAATTCCCGCCAGCTTCCGAGTAGACTTTCCATGTAAAGTCAGGGTAAGATGATACCAGAAGGTGGCAGGAAGTATTCAGGAAATTTCGGGTAAGTTGTGGTGATTTTCATATCCTGCGACCGGTGCAAGATGCGGAAGATCCAGGAACTTTTTTTCACATGAGGAAGTCCACTGTCGCAAACAAGCCTCCTGAGACCCCCCCTTTCACCGTCCACAGGGATAGCCTTCCGCTGTAAGGTGCATGTGTGAACGAGCAACTCAGGAAAGATTTCAGGGGCAGCCTGTCTGAGAAAAAAAGTACAAGAGCACCCCAACATATCAGTCACCGGGAGAAAAAAAAAATCTGGCATCGTCCCTGCATGGCTGCAAAATAACCCTGGTGATGTCATCAAATAACCCTGGTGATGTCATCAGGGTTATTTAAGAGATTGCTTTAAGGATTCAAGTCTGAAACCAAAATTATTTGATAAAGCAAAGGTGAAGTTTGAAAGAAGTTTCACTTTTACCATTTAAGGTGCAACCGAGATGCATTATGGGAATTGTAGTACTTTTTTTGGCACTTGATTCACATTATACAGACGAAGTGTTCTTTCTCGGGCTCGGGTGATTTGATTTTGATGCTTGTTTTGAACTAAATACCTTTAAAGAAAATGGACTGAAAGGTTTATTATTAAGAAAGAGTTATAGGTTTTAAATGACGTTAATTTGCACGTGAATGACGGAAACCAAACTTGGCACTTTACTGTATGTGTTCGGATATTTTCATCTTCAGAAATAACTAAATACCCGGATTGTGCAGACTACAGCGCAGCTACTGGTGGGAATCTTTTTTTTTTGCAGTGTGTGGGTAAGCCTTGTCTCTCGTTTTTTGAACGAGCCGACTGCTTTCACCGCCACCACCAGCAGCAGCAGCAGCAGCAGCATCCACCGCGCACCCCTCCTCATCAATATGCGCTTCAGCTCCTGAATGTATGAGCCTCTTGCACAGTCAAGAGACGGCAAAGCGAGTATTCAATGCCGCGGAGACGATGTCAGCCCATCTCTCACATCTGACCCCATCCAAAGCAAACTGCTGACTCCCCCCCCTCCTCCTCCTCCTCCTCCTCCTCAGTCGACTTTTCTTCCTTTTTGGGGCAATCAATGGATTTACTCTGATTTTTGAAGAGCGTCCGGAACCGTCTCGACTGTCTCCACATTTTTTGGAGGGGGGCTCCTTTTTTTTTTTTTTGCCCGTTGTTGCTCTTGTAAACAACGTAAAGAAAAGAAAAGAAAGGGGGGAAAAAAACAACAGGAAAGGGTGATGTTTGCTTTGCACAGGGTTCGTCAATTTCGCGTCTTTTCCGCACTGGTTGTCGGTTCGATTGTGTGCTGCGCGAAAAGGTGAGTTTTTTTTTTTTTTTGCGATCCAGTGAAGTCAAGGTTATTGGAGCTGATTGATACACAAGTCAAGGTGATGTGTGTTTTTTTTTTTTTGTCATTTCAGCGTCAATGAACCGGGCAACATGTCGTTTGTAAAGGAGACGGTGGATAAACTGCTGAAGGGATATGACATCCGACTGAGGCCAGACTTTGGAGGTATTTACCCACGTTCATTTTGGCTTCTTCATTTTTGGCGCCATTTACAGTGTTGTGGTCAGGTGCAAAAGGTGTTAGGCCTGTATATACATTGTTGTGCTGTTTGTTTTGCAGGGGCCCCTGTTGCAGTCGGGATGAGCATAGACGTGGCGAGCATAGACATGGTGTCAGAAGTCAACATGGTGAGAGAATGAATTTCACATCCCACAGCCTTCCACTCTGTCTCCCTCTGTGTTTACTCCACCGCATAATGCACGCAGCCCCTTCCTCCTGTCTCATGTTGCTGCACATTGGCACTCACACACCATGATCCCGTCGCTGTTTTTCTTGCAGTAGAAGGAAGTGCTGATGGAAATCCAGTCCCCATTATGTGATGCTGAGATGGATGGGCTGGGTTTCCTGTAAGCAATAAAAAAAAAAAAAACATCTATATCTTTGCTGTACTGTTGCTTGTGCGGTGTTACCTTACATACAGCTGTGTGAGAAATAAACAACTTCCTGTTTCTGTTTTGCCACAATGCTGACATTAGCATCAGCTCAATAGGAGGATGAGCTAAAGCTGCAACATCATGTGGTTACACATGGCGTAAGAAACATGCATTTTTTCCCCCTTTTTTTAAATACTTTAAAGAAACCTTACTTGGCTCTGCTTGTTAACCTCTCCAGCCCTCTTCAGCCGTCATCCTCCCAGGAGGGCCCCCCCCCCCCTTTTTTAGCAGACAGCTATCAGCGAAACTCTGATTGGATTTTTTTTTCCTCATTATGTGAAGCCCGGATTGGCTGTTATCATCCCCGCGTGTTGACACGGTGTGCCCACATGCAGGAGAGGAGAGTAACTTCAGGCTATTGTGTCTTAAAATTATCAAGCGGACGATGATGACCCAGATTGCAAGCAGAAACAAACAAAAAAAAAAAGCTCACTTTAAGACTTAATCTGATTGAAATCGAAATTGTAACTTAATTAGCTTTTGAAACTCACAACCACAGATCAACACCTCCACATTTTAACGGCATATTGCCAGTGTAGGTGTAACCATTCTGACTTCTTCGCAGAGATGATGGCTGCTCCACCTAAGCGTCGAGGCCCCTTTTTGGAGTCACATTTGGGTCAATCAGGGAGGCTGCAGTTTATACTTCGATGTGTCCACTCAAGCATCATCAGAGTAGACAGAGCATCATTTCACACCTTTAATCTTTGTTCTGTATCGACCAGATCGAATGAGGAGGGGAAAAAAAAGGGCAGATTTTTACTGCACCATACTGGTAAATGATCACTATTTGTGTAGTGGGAGGTGGAGCTGTGTGTGTGTGTTTGTGTGTGTGGGTTGGTGCTGATCAATACTAATGAGTCAATCTTCAGCAGGTGACTCCTGGCTATACTTACTTCTCATGCTGTGATTCAAAAACAGCACGCTGGCATTTTAAAGACAAATTAGCTTCATATACTGTACCTGTAGTCATTTCTTTTGTGATATGTGTTTTGTAAGAGTTGGACTCATACTTGGATTGGAGTAAGTGGCAATATTTTTTCATGTTTTCTGAGTATCTTCTGAACTGTAGACTTACATTATAGTGTGATAAGCCACAACGTTTTTAAGAGAATAGTTCCATAGCAAGGCAACATATTTCCCCCGTCTGTTACAGCAGTGGCCATGGTGTCCAGCTTCTGTCAGCTGTCAGTACAGCTGCTTGACTCTGACTGGAGGGAGTAAAATGTCGCCCTGTTTCTAGAGGATGGTGGTAAAGAGTGCTGGTTTACACGTCAACTGTGGGTCTTAGCGACGGCAAGGGCCAAAGGTCCAAATGGTTGTCATTGCTTCCATATTTATCAAACCACTCATTGACCCCTCCTTGGAGACATTGTCATCCTGAGACTTCTTCCGGCAGGTTGAAAATGTTGATGAAGCCACAAGGTCACCATACTGTAACAGTCAGAAATTCAAAATATGTATTTAATCAGTCAAATGAAACCCTGTGATTATATATATTTGTATATATACAGTATATACATAGCTACAGGGGCGTGTCCAGGCTTTTTTTTGACTGGGGTGGCCCACTGACTTATGCAGGGGTGGCCTGAAGTGTGATGTGTGCACAAACACACACAAATAAATGTTAATTATTTACCCTGTCTGACCTCATGAATAGCTACTTTGAAATGGAAGATAATGGGGCGCTGGTGGTGCAGTGGTTAGAGCGCGCTCCATGTGTGGAGGCCGTGGCCCTCCAGTGGCGTACAGACCTGGGTTCGAACCCCACCTGTGGCTCCTTTCCTGCATGTCATTCCCCACTCTCTCTCTCCTGATTTCCAACTCTACCTACTGTCCTACCTCTCCATTAAAGGCAAAAAAAAGCCCAAAAATAAATCTTAAAAAAAAAAGAAATTGCAAGATAATTTCAACATTAGCTTAAGTTTTCAATGAAACAAAAATATTTATTTTCTAAGTCACAAGTAATTTAAAAATTGCATTAAAACTCCTGCACAGGCTAACTTGGAAAAATGCATGATTTGGAAATGTTTTGGTCCCCAACACGTTGCCAGTTAGTTCATAGCAAGTACGACAGCGTGCATGCCTTTCCGATGCAAATGTTTTATGTACAAAGTACTAAGAAAAGATGCTACATTGATATGCAAAGAAAAATGTGTGCTGCCTTTGCAAAAAAGCCTAATAAGGCAAATATCCAATAACAGTTTAAAATTCTTGGGGTGGCCAATCAGATTTCTAAGGGGCCCATGCTACCCCTGGCCAACACCCTGGACACACCCCTGCATATCTATACTAATAGCATGGAGTAAAAGGTTAGCTGTTGCAGCTATACATTTAGCAGCTATAATTCCTCATTATGCCACTTTATGGAACACACTGACAAAGGAGGAAATTGAAGTAAAATCTGATAAAAATAAAGATTTTTTTTCCCGCAGAGCTCAGGCTTTATGATCTCTGCTACGAGCCTTATTTGCCAACAATTCAGCTGCAGACATTAACTAGTGGACACTTAGGCTATTCTCCAGAGGGAACATGAAGGCAGCTGATCAACAACGGAATCAGACAGCCGAGATCACACTCAACCTGATAATTAATTAGATCTTGTTCCCATTGCCACCAAGTGCACATGTGCCTCCTCTTGTTAGATGGGACGATCCTTGGCTATTCTCCAGCGCTGAAACCAAAACAAGACCAGTCAAGCTGTTTGTTATTTTCACGCCCAGCAATTTGACATTTGGTGGATGCTTTGTCGTCCAATAGCTGGGTTTGTCTGAAGTTGAAGCACGGGAGGATTTCTCCAGTGGGGAATGGATAATGAGCGCCTTTGTCCTGCTAGTGGCTGTGCACGGCTTTCTCAATTGAGCAACACCAAACAGTAAAGCTGCTCTCTTTGTGGAGCAAAAAAAAAAAATCTATTTCAAGTTGTTAGGCCTTATCCTTCATGAATTTTAATTTTTAATCCAAATTCAGCTCCTAAATCCACATCATCAGCCCAGTGGAATGACCCACAGGCATAACTGTAGGGAACAAGTTTTCAAAAAGTTGAGTGTTTATTGAGGCCCAAATACTGCTTGCTGTGCGGAAATGAGACCTGGATCCTTCTTCAGCGTATCCTACGAGGAGCACAGATTTGCAAAACAATACTGCCAGCTTTAAAGGCCTGCTGTGACGTTCTGTCTCATGCAAAAGGAAAAAAAATACAATTGTAATTCACTGTAATTGTAGAATAGGAATTTGTTTAGAGCAGAAAATCATGACAAAATTGAGGCGCCTTTTCAAGAATTTTAAATAAGTCTCAGAGCTCCCCAAAACATGTCTGTGATGTTTCTTGTTCTAAATCCACTCTGATCCTGTATTTGATCATGCCCCTCTATTTCAGCCCTGCTCAGAACAGGCTGTTTCTGTGTCTGTACCTTTAAATATGCAAATGAGCTGTGTTCTGACCACGCCTCCTTTTTTGGAAGGGTTTCCAGGCTTGGTCTTTCTCACTCCATGTCCTATTGTTTATGGGGAGAAGGCACACTCAGAGGGCAGAACAAACACGTACAGTCGCTGTGGGAGTGTCACCCACCTGGGGGAGGGGCTACTGCCCTTTGTGATGTCACAAAGGGAAATTTCCAAAACAGCATGTTTGAGCACACGTTTTTTTATACATATTCTATTGATATTGCCTAACGATATAACTGCCAATTACATTTGAATGAAAACACTTTTAACTTAGCGTCTTAAGTGACATCACTTGAGGCATTTTTTTTATCAGGCTTCACCGGGGTCAGTCTGAACCGAGTCCTCTTTAATTAGTAACTTAATCAGTAATTCATTTTGAGATGTACGGGGGAGGGTCAGAAAAATATATTTATAACAATTGGCAGGTCATTTTTTTATTTTAATTTAAAGAAAGACTATTTTTTCTCAACACTCCCTTAGACCTCCTTTCGATGATTACCTGTAAGTGGATGTTTGATTGCTATAAGCTTCCTCTCTCACACTGACCCATATATGAAAATACCTCCACTCTTGTTTTATGTGATGTGCAGTGAAGGTTTTCATTCCATCAACCAACACCAGAGTTGAAACTGGCAATCCGCTGAGCAGCACACCGAAGACATAAAAACGAGCGGTGAACTCTATTGATTTATTGAGTGCCTGAGTGAAACAGAAAAGAGCAGGGAGGACGTGAGAGATGTGAGAATTCCAGAGAAAAGGAATTGGAAAGAGGATGAGAGAGGAGGTGGTGGCTGATGGGGAAAAAAAAAACTACCCCACAGAACACACAGCGAGTGACTGTAGCAGCTGGCTCGTCCAAGGATCCACCTGGCAGGGGCAGGTTGTCCAAGATAGTTTACTCGCGACGCCTTAGCAAAGTGCACGAGCTCCCCAGCACTAGCAGATGCTGTAGCGTCTAAGAAGGTGTGCTAATTACCTCTGAGGGTTTGTTTGTGGGCCTCTCGCTGATGAGAAACACACACAAGGACGAGATCAGAGCGCGGCAAAACACATGACGCATGTGCTTGGAAACTAGTTGAATACTTAGGCACAGAAAACTTAAAGAAAATATGTTTCAGTCGAGTTTCCAATCAGAACATTTGACAAGCTCTTTCTTGTTTTTTGGTTTTGGTGGGAATAAAAACACAAAAATGCAACACAGCCTGCATTTAAAATGTTGTTAATAGCTTAATTTAAAAGCTCAAGAT